CTGAAACAACTGAACCAGTAAGCATAACTGAATTTTCGACAATTAGTACTGAAACAAAGTCAACTACAATGGAAAGTACAACAATGCAAGTTAAAAAAACTACAACTGGGGAAGTCACAAAAGTTCCTATAACTGAATTATCACAAACAACAATTTTGTCAACTGTAACAGGAGAAATAACTTCTACAACTCCATCACTTACAACGAATGTACCAATAACAGAAGGACTATATACAGTTTCATCTGAAGGTCAGAGAACTTCTACACAAAAAGAGGAAATAACAGTTCCATTTACAGAAACAACCGACAAAATATATTCAACTACTTACGAACCTGTAGAAGGAAGACAGGGAGATTCAGATATAACAGCTGAACCTACAACAGAAGGTACTAGTGTAACTACAATTTTAACGACTGAACAAGCAAAAACCACAACAGAAAAAGGTTCTATAACAGTGGTTAAAGAAACAATAGTTCCGTTATCAACTACAATCTCATCCATAGGTACTACAGAAATTTCTATGACAGTTTCAACAGAAGGTAAAACAGAAGGTACAACAGAAAGTATTACAGAAGGTACAACGCAAATTATAAGAGAAGGTACAAAACAAAGTACAACAGAAGGTGAAATGCAAAGTACAACAGTAGGTACAAGAGCAGGTACAACAGAAGGTACAACAGAAAGTACAACAGAAGGTACAACAGAAGGTACAACAGAAGGTACAACAGAAGGTACAACAGAAGGTACAACAGAAGGTACAACAGAAGGTATAACAGAAGGTACAACAGAAAGTAAAACAGAAAGTGCTACTACAGAATATAGAAAAAAATTAGTACCTTTATCAACTACCTTATCATCTGATGGTACTACAGAAACTTCTATACCATTATCAGCTACAATAACAACAGAAGGTACTGCTATGGAAATAACAACTTTACCATCTATTTCGATTTATAATATCACAGAAAAACCATTGGAATGTTGTGAAAATACTGATTGCTCAGAAGTAGAGGTATGCAGAGGCAAAAAATGTGTACATGTATGTTCTATAGGAGGCACTTGTGCCCCAAACGCAGAGTGTAAGGCTATAAATCGCACTGCAGTTTGCTTTTGTCCAGTTGGCTATATTGGAGACCCGCATAGGATTTGCTACAAAGGTATAAGAAGTAAACATAATTGTCAGAACAAAAATAGAGTTCCTTATTTTGTACATTTTGTAAATTTAAGTTTTTTTTATAATCAGCACAGTTTAATTCAACTAATTTAAGTGGGAAAAATGTAGCAAAATTACAACAGTAAAGCTCTAGTGTAATTTTAAATAAAACTGTTGTAAATTTGCAACATTGATTCTTGGAATATATTTAAGAGCATAAAAAACTAATTGGAAAGTATATAAAGTATAAAAAAAATGCTTTTAAATATGCCTCGAATTGTATATTAAATTATTGCATGCTTTGATTTTAATTTTTGGGCTAGGGTTATTAAAAGTAGTTTAATATACATTTTTTTTTGTTATAATTTGTATAAAAACTCATTGTAATTACTTGATTCATATTTCAATAGCCGAGTTTCACCATTTGTATATATTTTTAAATACTTATGAGATTTTTTTTTCCAATATGTTATGTAAGTACTTTACTAAATAATTCTGGTATTTCGGTTGAATAAATCTGAAAAATTAAGCTCTATAATAATCAGTCATACGTTCACTTTATAAATATATCCGAAACATCAACTTTATAGTAATAATGTAGGTACCAGTAACACCTGTTTAAAATATTGGTGATGTTCTGTAATATAATATAAGAATGAAAGATAAAAAATACTTTTGGGTGCCTGGTCATCAGTGGATATAGAAAAAGCTGATTCATTTACAAAAAAAAAGTCAGAAGGAACACCAGGTTTCATTAGAGACCAAAACAAGTACATGTTAAAACATTCATAGGAGAACCAATTTTGAAAATACCAGAACTACTCTTTATAAATAGGAACTTATACTTTTATTGATTTCCATATATTTTTATCACTTCATGAATGGGCTTGGAAAATAAAAAAAAAGTATATTATTTTTTATTAAAAGTAATACAAATTAATTTTACAAGAACAATGGCGTTTAATTAGAGTCGATAAGATTAGTATTATCGAACCTATACGGTTATTTTTTATCGCCCGGGATGCCGTCCCAGTTAGATGTTACGTCATCAGCGCCGATTGTTTAGGAGAACGGTCGGATGATTCTACAAAATGCTACTGGCTAGTCGCTATTTTGATGGCAAACAGAGTGATGTTGATTTGTTAATCAGAATGGAGCGGGGATTTGGTCGTGGTCAGCCAGTCAAATTACTGGCCAAATTGATTTTCTGGCAATTGCTAGTTATTGTGCCACAAATAACGATTTTATAAGTGCTGAAATACCTGTTTCTAAATGCTATTGGCAAATGTTCAGCTACTTTGTTAGGAGGTGGTCATATAATTAATTCTTGAAAGTACTTTGATAACAAAGGAACAGTGCATCTAAAGATTTGACCTATATTTACTGACAATCTTTTAAACTGTATGACTAATATTGTATATGGTTCATTTAGTCGAATTTTTTTAAGTGTAATAAGAATATGTGTATGTAAAACCAAATTTTATCTGACAAAATTTGCAAGTAACAACATGATTTCTTTGCGACATTTAAAAGTAGTTTGGGAGCTCTGTATATTGACATTAAGGTTCCCTTTAACATGCATGCGTTGTACTGGTTATCATGGTCCAAATGTGTGTCAGAAGAACTGCTTTACCAATTGGTAGATTTTTTGGAAGAGCAACTCGATTCGAGATTTTCCAAACTATGTGTCTGTTTAAATTTGATAGGAGAAAAACTTACATCTCATACTGCTCCTTTTATTGAGGACCATGGCGCATTTGATTTGTTTGTGGTATTGTTAATTTGGACTGGTTTAGATCGAGAGAATTATTTTTTCACTTGGATTTTTGTCTCATATGATTATTGTTGGGAACAAAAGTAGGTTCGTTATCAAAGAGATGGCGTGGGTCATCTTCAATAGCACTACTACTACAATCAACCCACTCCACTCATTTTGAAGTGGGGTGAGACTTGATGACTCTATATGGAGGATTTTCGCTGTAGCACCTCTTTAAGGTTTGATAGACTCGGAACCTGACTGCTCACACTTAAAAATATAAGTAAAAACACCCTTTCTTTCACTTCATATAACTTTCCATATCCGTTTCAAGCAGGAATTAAAAGAAACAGAATACAATTATGTTCCCTTCCATCTTTCTTTATCTGATCTTATAAATATTTTTTGCAAGACCCAGAAAATCAAATATTAATAAAAATCTATTTCCTTATTTAAACACTAAGAAATCCATATGTTTGGGCACATCCTAAAGGATGAGGCATTTATTACCGTCATGATATTGGGGAATTCCAGTTCCAAATGTCATAAATTAATAATGCCTTTTTATGACGAATATTTATATACTATTTACTTACACATTTCTATATTATTAAAAAATACCGAGAATTACAATTTACAGAATACTAATAGATATGTTGTATTGCTTTGTAATTGTAAGGAAATACATGTTAGGTACGGAAAATCCATCTGGCCGTTAAGGGCTTTTACAATGACTGGTTTATATTAATATTTACATAAAATAGAGTACCTGTCCCATTTAAATTTAGCAGTAGCAGACCTTGTAAATGAGCACGTATATTGGACCACTAAAAATACTACTGTTGTAATAGATACATTAATTAATTTAAAATTAACTTACATCAAAATGATCTTCACAACAAAACCGATTACCTTTACTCGATTACACCACTGTTTCCGTATTTTTCCCCTTTCAACACACTAATAAATATTTTATTAGGTGTAGTTACTATCGTACTTGTACATTTCGGCACAATACAATATTTATGCCGGATATTTTGAGCAGACATTTTGAAAGACACAAACAACAGCAAAGGCGTAATAATATTTACTACTTAAATCTAACTGTAGCAGGCGATAGGCGCCGCTGACGTACCGTACTGGCCTCGACGCTGCAAGAAAAACGGGGGGTGTGGCCTATTTTTTCGAACTTTTTAAGGCAACTAAATTAATAAATCTAAGTCAGAAACTGTACCTTTTTATAAAAAATTATCCAATTATCGTTTCCAAGCTCATTGTAAAGAGTAAATTATCGTCTCTGCTTTTCTTGATTCTATATTATTAATACCTAGAAATAATGTAAGGATACGAAGTCGATTGACAACGAAAAATATAATTGAACTGCAGGAAAACCATACCTAAGCACTGTCGGATTGGGCCGCCGGTCTACCGGTCCAAAGACCGGTAGGCCCTCGCTCAGGCAGTGGGCCCTCGTTCAGTCAGTGAGCCCTTGAGAAGAATAAATAATCAACCCCGTAATACGTGGAAACCTCGGAAAAAACATCACTGTTTAGCAACCTTTTTTTTTCCACACTACCTAGAGGGATTTGAATTCCAAATTTCCAGATTAATCACTGATGCGGCAAGTCCTATAAAAGAAAATAAATACGTGCTAAAAGTGTTTTTAATTAGATTGTTATTGTTACTATTACTACTATTATAAAAATGATGTTT